TTAGCCAAACATTGCGTACAACTGGTATAGACACAGGGCAGTGTTTCTCTGTTGGTGAATTTACAGTGCAATATGGCACTGCTAGCCGTGTTGACAATCTTGGTCTAGAATTATAAATAGGTAGTCCGATCCTTAATCTTCTTCAAAATGAGGGTGGATTTACCTCCTGTCTATGATATAAAAGTGATTTACCAAAAAATTACGGAACAGGCTTTCAAAGCAGGTGAACGCTCTGCCGGCAACATTATTGCCGGAGCAATGACCTGACAGAAGACAAAACCTTTCGTCAAACGAGCCTTGATATTTTACTTTTCCTAGAAATGGTCGAACGGTTGCACTGTGACAAATAGACGCTCTGAGAGTGTGACGAGTGGAGTACATTTTTCAGTGCAATATGGATTAGCGGTGGCCAGGACGAAAATGTGTGTGGTGCGCGGCGGCGCTGCTCTTGAGGGAGCGGGAAGAATACGAAAGAGATTGGAGCGCTCGAGAAGCAAGGCAGGCCGAGGTAGTCAGACAGCAGAATACATCAAGGGTTGCATGCTATTGGTCCGCTGCGGCGCGGAACCTCTAACGGGAAGACCCAAGGCGAACCTGGACGAGGAGCGGCGCCAGGCGACGACGATGCAATCGTCCCCATCCAGACCCGCGAGCGAGTTGGTGACTTTGGGGGCAACCAAGCCAGGCAAGCTGAGACATAGCTGCGGGACTAGCCTACCAGTGTTCCAGGCGTGGTTGCAAGCATGCGTCTGGCCAGCGACCCTACAGCGAAGCGGCCATCCCAGCGATTATCGTGATAGCAGCAGCACGACCTCAAGGTGACACAACGACACGTCGGATCATCTTGTCGACAGCGACGTGTGAGTGGCTCACATGTAGTGTGATGCTAAATAGCTGCGCGGTGTCAGGGTCGCAGGAACCATGTACTGTAACTGAGGAACTGCAGGGACAATAGCTCTGCAAAAGATTTTAAGATCATTTATGTTATTGTAGACCTTTTTATATATGTGTGTCCATGTCGTATAAACGTGCTGCCGTTGTTTACGTCCCATCTCTTGTCGTTTGAGCACCTGGGCCCACATGAACCTGTCACTATTCGCGAGCCTTTTCAGGACAGGCTAATTACAACGGTAGCCAACGCTCCAACACAGGGGTGAAGCATGGATAATGACAACGTTGGAAGCATTGGAAAAGAGCTAGGACTGAAGGATGCAGAATTGAGGGCATGGGTAGAGAAAAAGCATATACAATTACACGATGAGCGTGCCAAGAAGCGAAATCCTCTAAAGGAGAAAATGGCATGAAAGCAGCAGTTGATCGAACAGGAATGAGAGGCAGCTCGTGAGAAAGGTTCTTGAACTGAGTCTTTGACTGCAAGAAAGTGCTGCTGGTTCGCAGGCCGCACTTTACATCACTGCTGCGAGAGCGAATGCATCTGGGGCGTATAACGTGTGCAGTCCCTACAAGCTTATACCACCATTCAATGACGAAAGGTACAACCTAGATGCATATCTGCAACCCTTTAAACGTGTAGCCGTTTGCCAGGAATGGCCCCGAGAGAAGCGGGCCCTTTCTCTAAGTCTATGCATGATGGGGGAAGCACCGACTGTCATTGGACGCATGGACTTGATTGCTGCCTTGGATAGACACGTTAAAGCAGGCATTCCTGCAATGGTTTCGGAACACGGCGGACGGGTACCGAGATATATTCTGTAATGCGAGACCAGAAGATAGAAAAACCGCCAAGCAGTACGCTTCAAGGCTCTGGGGTACTTCAATCATTAGCTGGAGCTCGCAGAGACAGAGAATGCTAAAATGGCCTTAAGGAGCTGATGATTTCCGAGCAATTTCTCAAGGACTGTTCCCCCTCATTAAGAGTTTTTCTGAAAAAAAAGACTTCGCCGAACAATCCAGGAACTCTCGCAGCCAGCTGACAATTTCGCCGAGGCTCAGGCTTTGTTGAACTTTGACAGGGAGCAGCCTCAGAAGGAAATTATTCAAGGGTCCAGTCTAAGAACAGATAAAACGAAGACACCTGTGCGAGATTGGGGAGACAATCGCTGTTGCTTATGCGAAAAGAAGGGGCAGAGGGCAGCTGAGTGTTGGGTGCGCACTAGAGGTGATTATGGAGACGAAAGCCGAACAGGCGAGATGCGTCCCAACAGGAAGAAGTTCACCACCCAAGAAGAGGGTGATAGTGAAGCGTCGTGCATGGTTGCAGTAGACCATACACCGGAAGAATCTCCAAGAAATCAAAGATTCTTTGTTCTCAAGGATGGATAGAGGATTTCCGTCGTCAATACCGCAGCCAGCAGGGGCGTTCCATCACAAGGAATCCAGAATATTCTAGTAAAGAAAGGATTTTTAGACAAGAAGCTGGTTACCGTGCTGCACGATACTGGCTGCAACACAGTCGTTGTCCGACAGGCAATAGTGCCCGAAAAAAAGATTCACTGGCACCTATAGACCACTATTATTGCTGGATCACACGGCACGCTACCTCCCGGAAGCTGTGGTTTTTTTGGACACACCCTTCTTTAGTGGAGAGGTTCGTGCTTTGTGCATGAGAGATTCCCTGTATGATGTGGTCATTGGGAACCTACCCGGGGCAGCACAGCTCGACACTTCGATAGCAACTCAAAGGAAGGCTGATTGTCCAAGCGGCTGGAGTGTCGTTGAGCAAGTGACACCCACGACACGTCCTGGTAGACGACACGAGGTACCCGTAATTAACCGATCACCGGCATATGAACCCGAATCGAGAGAGAGAAGTCCAGCTGCGGTAAACGGTAATAAGCGGAAGGAGTGTGCGAAAAGGCATCGAAAGCCAATCCCATGTGAAACTAAACGGCTATCACCCACGCCATGGCCTAAAGCGCAACAGGAATCGCCCCTATCTGGCTAGAACTCGACACGAAGAGGATATGAGGCGACATCGCCTCTTTACACGTCGCCGAAAATACCGCCGCGTTGGCAAAGGTGGCTGCACTACCACAGCGGTCCACATAATGTGGCCAGCTGTGTTTGCTACAGATAGGAATCCCCGTCGCACCGCTTCCATGACTCGGACAAACCCACTGTACCAAAGTATCGGTTTCCGGCACTTTCAACCATCCCGTTCCCAGAGTCACCGACGACGTCATCAGGCCAAAGTGTTTAAGCGACGAAACAGACTTCTACTGAGCTTGATAAGCTGCTGCTTGTCACAACCAAGTGAAGACCAGGAGGAACCCACCACGTGCATCGTGTGTTGTGCATTCTGCGTGCGTGCATGTGTTCTCGCGTCAGAGGTGGCAGGGTGTTTGTGCCTCATGGCGAGCTGCCATGGTGTGCTGGTACGTGAGTCTTGGGATCCTAATTGTGCTGTACGGGAAGTGCTCTGCATGTGTGCGGTGGCCACGTATGTATTTTTTTTTGTGCCATTGTGTCACGTCTACGCCAATCGTATCCGCCGAACACATTCTGAAAGCGGGGGGGAGTGTGACGAGTGGAGTACATTTTTTAGTGCCGTGTGGGTTAGAGGTGAAAATAGGATGAAAACGTGCATGGTGCGGGGCGGTGCCGCTCTTGAGGGAGCGGGAAGAAGACAAAGGAGATTGAAGCGCTCGAGAAGCCAGGCGGGTCGAGGCAGTCGGACAGCAGAAGAGATCGAGGGTTGCATGCTACTGGTCCGTTGCAGCACCGAACCTCTAATGGGAGGACCCAAGGCGAACCTGGACGACTAGCGATGCCGGGTGACGATGGTGCAAGCGTCACCATCAAGACCCGCGAGCGAGTTGGTGACTCCGGGGGCAACCAAGCCAGGCAAGCTGAGACCTAGGTGCGGAACTAGCCTACCGGTGTTCCAGGCATGGTTGCAAGCATGCGTCTGGCCAGCGACGCTACAGCGAAGCGGCCGTCCCAGGGACTATCGTGATAGCAGCAGCACGACCTCAAGGTGACACGACGACAGGTCGGACCATCTCGTCGCCAGCGACGTGTGAGTGGCTCACATGCAGTGTGGTGCTAAATAGCTGTGCGGTGTCAAGGTCGCAGGAACCGTGTACTGTAACTTAGGAACAGCAGGGACAATAGCGCCGCAAAGGATTTTAAGATCATTTATGTTACTGTAGACCTTTTTATATATGTGTCACAGAAGGACACATGACCTATTGCTTCCTCCACATGTGACCACTGTGTTACAGTGAAGCATTTCTTTTCCTACGCAGTTGTTAGAAGCCCTCTTCAACTGTCCACAGGGTGCACTGTGGTTCCCCCCTCAACCCCCCCTTTCTTTTCCCTGCTGGCAGCAACAAGACTTGGGCACTTCGTCTAACAATCATGAACACTGCTACATAGCATCCCCCTGTGACTCAAAAGGGACCATCATTCTCATGGTTTTAGGCGAAATTGATATTACACACTGCCACACAACTCCCGAAATTTTCTGACTGACCAGGCTGATGCAGGCTACTGCATCAGATTATCCAGTGCAATTTATGAGATAAATTATTGGAACACAGATTATTTGAGGTAAGTGAGATTTTATAATAACAGAGCGAATTATCAAGTTTCTGGCAGTAGCTTTCGAAGTCAACAATATATCACACCTGGCAAATCATTGGCTGGACAATATGGCCCCATTGCAGTCGGCATGTTTGCCAGCTTTAAAAGCCAAAAGGCTGAAATTTACCTCCCCATGTTAGGCAGACTAAGGAGAAATGCATGCTTTCCACACTGTGCTACTCTTGCCTGCCCCTCTGTGCCTGCCTAGCCACATTTCCGCTACTTCCCCCCCCCCCCCTAGCACATATGAAGATGGCGTGCTCTCTCATACTCTTCCGCGGCGTTGCACATGCTAGGCACATAAAATCTCAGCGCACTTTCACTTTGTATAGACCTCCATGATGACGACAATGACACCATCAGCACATTTTAGCTTGGAGTGCCTGCTGCCATCATAATGAAATGTACATACGTCCAATATGACTGGCTAAAGCAGTGTGGATGTCACATCATACCAAAAGGTAGAGGGAGGCGTACTGGGCATGTGAGCCAGCAAAGAAGCGTGTACTGCACTCAAGGCCCAACCCAGTGAAAATGTGAATGGTGTCTGCTTCCAGTTGGTTGATGACCTCGTTGTGGTTCATGCGTCCTGCACAGACAAAAATGGTCCCATCCACTGCACTCTCAAATGCTGCAGGATACGTAGGATGGCGACTTATTGCCGTTTAGCATGCAGAGCTAGAGTACCTCAGAGCAGCAAAAGAGGAATGAGACACGTCAACTTTCATCAAGTAAGAGATAACCCAATCAAAAGAGAGAACATTGGGGGAAAATTTTTACTGATATTGATATCTCATTGCACCCTACATGCAGGTACAAGTGAAGCCCCAATTAAATACAGAAGGAAGCTACCAGAAGCATGGTTATGTGAACCTCGCTTCTCAATGATTTCATGAGCCTGGTATTTATTTATTTTATTTATTTATTTGGATACTGTAAAACCCGGAGGGCATTACATAGGGGAGGATTTATACGGAATGAAATACAGATTTCCAGCATACAGCAATTGAAAAAGGAAAACTAGATAATGCAGAAACAATAACATTTCACAAATAACGATAACATCTAGATTCTTTTTAGGTTCGTTCAGTTTCAAAACTGAACACAGTCAAAGATGACATCATATATGTCATAAGGATCAACAAGCCTACAAATTGTGTACCAACATGAAGACTATGATAATTACTATCTGATGTGCATATTCACAAAGCTAATTTATTATTGAATGCAAAGCATTTCTTAGTGAACTTTAACGACTTTGATTGATTGATTGATTGATTGATTTGTGGGGTTTAACGTCCCAAAACCACCATTTGATTATGAGAGACGCCGTAGTGGAGGGCTCCGGAAATTTTGACCACCTGGGGTTCTTTAACGTGCACCCAAATCTGAGTACACGGGCCTACAACATTTCCGCCTCCATCGGAAATGCAGCCGCCGCAGCCGGGAATCGAACCCGCGACCTGCGGGTCAGCAGCCGAGTACCTTAGCCACTAGACCACCGCGGCGGGGCTTTAACGACTTTGAGCGTATCTATCTAGCCACCTACAACTTTTACCACTCCTGGCCGTTTCTATAATGGTATCAATACCAAAAATGGCATGGCATAACATAATTGTATGATGAGCATAAGTGACTAGTCATAACATGAAAATCATGACTTGTATGTCATGAATGTCATGATTTACATTTAATGGTCTTGCTCTTGCGGTGGCTTCATTCACATGACATGTTATAAAACTTGTATGGTATGACATGAATGCATGGTGAACACAAGTGACAGACACTCATGTGGAAATCATGACATGCATGTCATGTAAGTCATGACTACACGCCATGCTCATGGTGCGCTCGCGGTTGTTTTGAAAGCTTCACATGTACCAAATTTGGTATTTTGGGACGTGAATAAACGACGAAGGGAAATGACATGTACATGCAAGATAATCATGAGGTACGTGTCATGTGAGAACATGACTACATGCCACACTCCTGATGCGCTCACAGCGGTTTCGCTAGCTTCACATACACCAAATTTTCAATAACAGGATGTGAATGGATGATGAAGTTATGTGACTGGTGTAAACATGATAATCATGAGATGCATGTCATGTAACATGACTACATGCCACGCTCATCATACACTCGGGACCGCTTCGCTAGCTTCACATATACCAAATTTGGTATTACGTGACTTGTGTAAACGACGAAAGTAAATGACATGTTCAAATGTGGCATGCATTTCATCTAAAACATGACTACATGTTACACTCATAGGACACTCGCGGCCATTTCTCTAGCTCCACATATACCAAATTTGGTATCACATGGCACGAATAGACGACGGAAGTAAATGACACGTCCAAACATGATTATCATCACATCAAAGTCATGTACAGCATAATTTACCTCTGCCTCATAACATTATGCTGATAATGAAGTGACATATCAACCTTCCTCATTCGTACGTCGCTTATCATCGATTCCCACTGTACGTGAGATCCGACATTTTTTTTTTTTAGCATGGACCTAAAAGTTTGTCTACCAACTGAATACTTCTGCCTCAGCAGAAAGAAATAAAGAATAGCCTTTAAAGTACCGCACTGAAGTGAAAATGCCTGCACATACTAATTTAAAAAACAAAACAAGTTTTTACAGCGAAAGCTGTATATGGCTAGGAGAAACAAAAATATGTCTGGCAGCGGCGTCATGAGCGGTCTCCATTGGCTGTGTTATCAGTTATGTCATTTGCAGCGTCGTACCAAGGCACGGACGTCATTGGCTGCGTAAGCGAGTGTTGTCACCCATACCGTCGCAACCGTCCATAAGCGTATGCCACGGACAATTTTAGAAGAGCACCGAAAGTAAGAAAGCTCGCATTCGCTGGGTCGATAGTGCAGTCCGGGCACAAAAACAGGCCCAGGAGGCCGAGTTCCAGCAGCAACTGCGAACCGATGATCCAGCAGACTTCCAAACCGCAATATATCGCTAACGGAAATGCAGGCGCCAGTGGTGGGCAGATCCTGCAAACCACACCGCCAAGTATGCTCCCGACGTCAAACACTTGCAACGTCATTGCAGCGTCAACATGATGATTGCGAGAACGCATTTCCCGAGGTGAACGCCCACGTTCGGCAGGAGTTTTTTCAGCGGACAATGGCTTTGGCTACGTCGTCTGTTACTTCCTGTGGTTCGAAAACAACCACTACGATTAAAGCATTGCCAAGCGCATTTAACCACTCATTACACTCCTCCGTGACCGTGATCATGTGAGGCACAATGTGCGGCATGTGAAATAAACATGTAGTAAACCAAAGGCAAATGAGGTTTGTCTAACCACATTAGGAAGCGTGAAAATGAAACCAATAATTGTGAAATGTTTCTGTACCGCGTCAGGTTAAACTCACGGGTAAACACCGGCGCCGCACCTTTCAGCTTTTGCTGGTTAACATTAGTACATGCTTGTGCGGCGAATTTCCTCTTACTTTATTTTGGCATAGCGAGACATAATTACATCACATTATTCAAGTTCAGGCTGTCTGCGATTTCATGTTACCCGTATTTCATAGGCTAGAACGTGATAAAAACCAAATGATTTAAGACAAATAAAAAGAAATTTTGCATGAATGCAAAAATGGAAATGCAATAACCTTGAGAAAACATGGGATGCTTGCACTGCAGATCAGTCGGAACTGAATCTCATTCTTAAACGACACAGTTCAATAACTCACTAAGGAAATGAAATATGTTGGAGGCATATAAATGCACACAGGCTAAACTTGTTCCAAATGATGTTTAATGCAAATAATATTTAGTGGAGTTTTGTGGCGCAAGGGCCTTGGGTGGCCAAAGAGCCCCATGTCTTTGATGCGATGACAGGGTGTATTACGGCTCTATGAAAACCTAAAACCAAGCACTATATAAAAGCGTAACAGGTGTGTATAAACTATGAAATTGTGACAGTGATACGCAATTTGATGTTTGGGTGTGGAATGAATTACAAGTGACCATGGTATCTACAAAGCAGCGATCGTAAAATAGCAGGAATGCCTCCTCAACCCCCTTGAAACTAAAGTCTGAGAGGCAGGCCCTTCTCAGAGTAGCTACCTCAGCAACGACCTCGGTGGAGAGGTTATGCTACGCAGTTCCCTTATATATGTGATGAAGCTGTGAATTTCATCTACAAACACAAGCAATAACTGATAATTAAAAAATGTTTCTTTGCCAATGAACATCCTTTGATGAAGTGGAATGTGTTCACAGTAAGCTAACAAAAAATACTGTTATCTAATAGAGTCTAGTTCACTACATTAGATGAGAATATGGTGGACAGTGAGTGATTCACCACATTTATTACACAAAGGCAAATCGCCACCGCACAAAAGGTATGAATGTGTGCTGTGTGTATGTCCTGTTCTTAGCCTTGTAAGTGTAACTTTTGGGTAGCGTGGTTTTGACACTGGCTGCCAATTACCAAGAAACGGCTTAATGACGTGTAGTTTATTTTCTGTGTGACAATCACATGTGCTCTGCCGATAAGCTCCGAGCTTTTGTTTGAGATATGGTTGTAAGTTAACAGCAGAGATATCTACGAATGTGCCGTATTTACTCACGTAATCCTTGCATCCTCTGGATTGGTAAAAAAAGCTTTTCCTCCTCTACAATTATCGCACCCCCAAACATTGCGGTGAGAATGTCATCTGCTTCCAACCATTGATGATGATAGCGCGCGTTAAGCGACAGCCTAGCGTGCATCGTGCGAACTGCTATCGCAGAGAGCCCTAACCTAATCCAAGCCAAGCCACAAGTAGCAAGTACGTGTTTTGGTCTGCCATAGCGACGTGTTAGTGCTAGTTCGTTCAGCGTGTGTGTTACCTCGTTCTGTGATTACGCTATGGGCTGGTACGCAAGCTACACGGTGGCTTTCAAGTCGAGGTGATTGACCATGCATTAGAACACGGCAACAGGGCCGCCGGCAGGCACTTCGGAGTTGATGAATTTTGTGCCTGGTACTGGCAACGGCAGCACGCACAGCTAAAGGCCACCAACAAAACCCAGCAGGCCTTCCATGGGCCTAAGATTGAAAAATATGTGCAGGGGGGGCGGCACTACTCAACTACGTCAAGTCTCCACGCGGACGGGTGTGCCGTATCCATTGAATTAATGAAGAATCAGGTGCGCATAATTGCCAGGAAGGAGGGCATCCTGGCAAAGAAATTTCTGTACAAGCAATGAATGGGCCACACGCTTTATGCGCCGAAATGAACTGCCACTCAGAAAACAGAAAACTTTGTGCCAGCGGCTACCCTTGGCAGATGAAGACAAGATTGTAAAATTTCATCAATTTGTGATCTGGATTTGGCAAGAAAAGAACTTTTTGCTCTCGCGAATTTCGAATGCGGATCAAATGCCGCTCAATTTCGACATGTCGCACTGCACAACAGTCGAACAAAAAGGTGTGCGGAGTGTGCACATCAAGACAACCAGTGCAAAAAAGCAGCGGTGGGCAGTCATGCTCGCTGTTACAGCGAACGAGCAGAAGCTGCCACCTTCTGTAATTTTTAAAAGAAAGACCCTACCGAAGGCAAAGAT